AGTTTTATCGTCGTTTTCAGTACTTCCCTAGTGTGCAACGCTGGGGTCTTCTTTTCAGTCAGCACAAAACTTCCACCGTATTGAATTCTGGAAGTTTGTGTGTGATTTGCCTTCTCCTCATCGCGCATGTACTCCGATGGCCTTGTGTTCTAGTTCTTGAAGAAGAAAGCAAAGTGTCGGTCTAGAAGGCGAGAAAAGTGAGATCTTGGAGTGATGAGGGAACGAGAAGAGCGATGAGGGGATGACAATGCGAGAAGAAAACAAATGTAGACGAGGATAGGAAGAGCTGAGAAGATGGCGCTACATCTCGGCTGAAAAGTAGAAACTTCGGTTGAGAAGCCAGACCTGCGGGCGCGGACGTCAGATCCACTCACAATCATAAGCCTGTAGAAGAACCAACGAGAAGAAAGGAAAGTAGGAACTTGTGAACAGACAACATATACCGATCGTTTTCCGGTGCCTGCTTGCGGCTGGTGGCGGAGCAGTATCGCCATATATACCAAAGGCAGTACTTCCAAACTTTCTACATATTGCAAGGCAGTACTGTAGTAGTTGTGGTTTGGATTCTCAGAATCTAATTCTACGGTGCCCTCGGGCACAATCTAAATAATCTAAATTTGTCACCGAATCTAAATCCCCTGATGCTTGTGTTTAGAAGGGTCACATAAGTGATCACATCCTTAAGTAGCGAGAACAAACACAAAAGGGCAGCTTAGGGTCCTTAATCTTATGGCCCTGGAGACTCTTACGGCCTTACGAGTTACGAACTCCGGTGTAGCAAAGATCTACATCGTCTAATTTAGCGGATTTGTGGCAAAGATCCAAATCCAAAGAAGTACTTGCATATTTACAGGTCGTCTGAGATCTAAATATTCTAAATTTTCTAAATTTCTAGTCGGTATTAAGGGGTAATCTTGAAGAAAATCTAAATCGTCTATGTCTCATCTCCTGGCTAGTGCTTGGATTCAGCAAAGGGGTAGATCTAAATAATCTAAAGTACGGATCTACACGGTTAGACTTGGCAAAGACCCAAGTCAGAAGTTTCAGCGGTTGACGTTGCTTCCGATTTAGCAAAGATCTAAATCGAAGGCTGTAGTCTCCTCCTTGCGTTGCGGTTGAGCCGGGTAAAGACCAACACCCGCATGATCTACATTCCCCTTCTGTTGTAAAATCTAAATAATCTAAATTACGTCTCTAACGCGGTTCTCCTCGTGGAAAGTCAAAATATTCCAAATTTTATTGGATGATCGTACCCGATCAACGTTCTGTACTCATAGCGTGGATTTAGCAAAGTTCTAAATCCAACTTTGTGGCTGTATTTGTTACTGTAGTTGTTGCGATTTGGAACCTAGTGCCCCAAATCTAAATAATCTAAATTAAGTTTTGTGTTTAGGAGCACTAAAAGGTTGCCAAGGGGGCAAGAGGGCTTTGGGTTCAGTCTTAAAATCTAAATAATCTAAATCTGGCCTCCGTCGTGGAAATCTAAACTTTCTAAATTCTATTGGTCGATCACCTGCTCCTTTGGATTTGGCAAAGTTCCAAATCCAAGTCTAAGCTAGATTTAGGAGCGCGGGGATTCTTGGGTCAAGAGGTGCTGCTGCATTCCTGTTGTGGTCACGAGGCCTTCTAGTTTTAGTGCTGTGTTTAGAAGCACTAAAAGATCCGGCGCTACTCAAATAGGACAGGCAACCACAACACTCGGGTTTAGAAAGAAAGAATCTAAATCCTATAACTGTGGGGTCGAGGTCTTCGGTCGAGTTCTAAACAGAAACCTTTGGCTTTCTTGTATATTATCTTGTGCCTTCGAGTACTAGAAAATCCTAAGTAATCTATATCAGCTAGTAGTAGTGGGCTTGGCAAAGATCCAGCCACTACCTGGAGGTCGTTTCGACTTTTAAAGTGTTAAGGAGCAGTCTGTTATGGCCTAGCTAAGCGGACACGGTGGTCTACGGTGCATCCGGTGCACGGTGGTATACGGTGGGCATCCGGTACCCGGTGGGCATACGGTAGGCGCAATACGGTAGAGGTACTCCCATCGTCGAGGTTCTCCTACTAAGTATTCACTTGGCAACAGAGTACTCCCCGTTTTTGCGACTTTCAACAAACTTGCAACAATAATCTAAATAATCTAAATCCACCTTTAGTCTTTTCTTTCGGTAAATAATTACAGCCCATCTTGCAGTAGGTCATCTGTAGAAATTTCCTTCACTCATTCAGTAAGGCTCTCACTACAGTTTCTAAACTTTCTAAATTCTAAACTTTCTAAAGCCCTCGGGCGGTTTAGAAGTGGTTTAGAATTTCCGCGTCCTAGTTGTAGGATCGCAAAGTGATAATGCCGCTGGACTACAGCAAGTTCCCAACGACCCGACCCAGCCGGGGCGACGCCCCGAAAGAGCCGCGACGCCGGCTTGGCTGGGTCGAAGGACTCAGACCGGGCATGCGATCGGCCTATTTGTCGGAGGAGACACTGGACTCCGCCTTACAGGCCGGCCGTGTAAGTCATTATACGAAGTCAAAAATGGGCTCTCCTGGCGGTCGGCCGCGGTGGGTGGAGATCCTAATCCCAAACAGTGCGGCCGACAGGGGAGAGGTGCTGGCGCAATATTTTACCACCGGGCGGGTCCTTGTCTGGTTTCTTTCGAAACCGGAGAAGAGCGGGACCCGCCCGGAGGAAATCTGCAGTAACGTCTGCGCGGCTCTCGGCATAGATAGCCGCGTAGTCGTAACTAAAGAGACGAGGTTTGAAGCCGGCAGCAGAACCACAAACCCGAACGTCCGCCGTGATGGAGGTGTGGTCTGCAGCACCCTTAGCAACGCGCACGAAGCTGCGCTGTTCGTCCCCGATCACACGATCATTGACGAAGCAGCCCGGACCGCAGAGAACGTCATGATGTGTGGTTTAGCGTTCGCCCGTTCTGTTACACTAGTTGGAGATCCGTGACAGCTTCCGCCAACGGTTTTGGCAACTCGTCCGATGACGAGATGGAAAGCGCCCGAGCCCAGTTCTTCCACTCTCAATTGGGAGCCAGGTGTTGACGACCTTTGTCTTGTTCCTGGTGATGAGATGAATGAGAAGGAAGACGTCTCCTCATTGTGTGTGTCGTTGATGGAGCGTCTGTGCGCATCCTGTCCAGAAGGTTCTACCTTTCTGAACACGCAGTACCGACTACACCCAGATGTAGCAAGATTCTTGAGTCAAGAAATGTACCAGGGGCGTCTTCTGTCAGGAGATTCCGCTCCCGCGGAGGCGCAGTTTGCGTTCTCTGCCCCGTGGGGACGGATCCCCATTGCAAGCGACTTCGTACCGCATCCGGCCAATGACTCACTGTCTGCGCTGGAGGCGGCGCGAAAGGTAGTGAGCCACTGTGTAGCGATCGGCGTTCCTATTTCGCAGATTTGTATTTTGAATACTTACAAATTCAGCGATAGCTGGGGCAAAGACCCGCTTCTGTCGCAAGTTGAACGACTAACAGTCGATGCCGCGCAAGGTATAGAGCGACAAGTCGTCATCTTTTGCAACTTAGCTCCACCGGGTGGGATTACTGGGCACGGCAGTGACAAGAGGCGACAGAACGTTGCACTTTCGAGAGGTTCGTCTTTATCTGTTATCTTACAAAACGAGCGATCAGTACAGAAAAAGCCGCTATTTGTAAATCTTTCAGAAGCTTCTCCTGTAGTTGACTTGGCAGAGCTTAAGATGACGCACACCACCAAAGAGACCACCACCGAAGAGACGCGTCCTATAGCTTCGATAGTGATCCCTTTAGTAGAGCTCATCGACGCTACTTCTGGACAAGTAAAAGAGACGAAGTTCAACTCTGCTCAGGGAGCAGACGTCGAACCTCAAGAAGAGTCTCCGAATTCTGAAAACTTGGATAGTATACTTCTCGACGTAGCTACCCCCCTATGGGATGTTGAGGACGCTCTTCGGTGGCGTGAGTCGTCTGCTGCGACCTTCAATAACTTAGTTGATGACGAGCTAGAAGACCTCCTCTATGTAGATGTTTCCGGTGAAGAGAG